GGTTTTGAAAAGGGGGCCCTATGTGACACTAGGAGTCTACAGAAATGACCACCAAAATCCATGGAATTTTACAAAGCCTTTAAAATGACACTATAGAGGATGATGGGAGATGTCCCTCCTCACTGTCGACCACTATTGGGGGACATATCAGAGAAGTGTGAAGTTGTGATACAAGGAAGAAAAAGTAGGAGGACATTGACTTACCTACAAAGATGATTCCCAGCTTACATGTAGTAAATGTAAAATGCCACAGCTTTTGGACTGGTTTCCCCCAAGATTAACAGGCGGAGACTCCCCAAACCAAGGTAAAGGTCTACAGAAAGACATCTTTTTGTTATTCTGTAGTATTAAAATAATATCACATCCCTCTGTATCATCCCCCTTCCTAAAGATGTCTCCAAAGCTGGCCAACCCTCCATACCCTTTACAAACGAACACCAGACCCCTCCACCGCCCCTCCACTTGAAATTACCCAGCAGCCCCTGGGTCACTATGCTGTGCCCAGGTTAAGGTCCAGTTCCACCTCAGCAGAACCCAGCACTCACCACCTCCAGATGGGAGTAGCATGTCTTACTGGTATGGAAACCCCCCTTACATGGTTTGCCTCAGAGACAGAGTGTATGATATCTGTCCGGGGAAAGGTATCAGATCCTCATGTTCCCCTTTCCCATACTCAGGTGGCAGAGACAGGACAGGTCGGTTGGTGGTTGAGGTGTACGGAGACCAGGAAGGATGGAGATCTCCTTTAGTGTCTAGTCGGGAACTCTGCAAACTTCTGCTCTACCCTCCACTCTGTAATCAGGTATGTATGATCCCCCTGGGCTGGTCCCCCCTCTTCTGTAGCCTGAACCCTGGATTGTATTCTTATTCATTGTTTTCATCTTCATAATTCTAGGAGAGAACTAAGAAACTTGGAATGACCAGTTATTGATGCTCGTAAGAGTTCACCTCCACCACAGTTAAATAAGGCCTTGTTGGTGGTTCAGGTAAGAAGACTTGACATCTTCCTCGTCATTTTGGAAATCAGAAACTACACAACATCACCACAAGGGTAGCCAGCTATCAAAATAATTATTCCTCCTATGTCGAGATCACAACTTATTTATCTCAGTTGTTTTGTCGAGATCACAAGATAACAAAGTACCACACATCATCCATTAATTTGTTCAGAGCACATGGGGCATGTCTCCCCAGGCTGCGGTGCTGCCCCAAGACCACAGCCAAATCGCATGCAAGGAACAGCACACTAACTTGGCTAGTCTGGGGGAGCTAGCTAGTTATCTAGGTATCTTGTTACTACTATCTAGCAAGCTAGCGTGTTATCTATGCTTGTTGTTAGCTTGCATAACTATATCTTTATAATTATAAGGAACACTTCATGTTTTGTGGATAATATTTACATTTACAGTGGGTGAGTTCCATTCCTGACAGGCTGATCAATTCAATAGCAGCCTCAGAAGCTGATCAATCAGACTGCAGCCTTGTGCTGTTTTTATATTTAAGGCCCCCTTGCAGACAGCCTCCAAGGCAGAATCCTGATTTATCAGCCTTTGAGGCTGCTATTGAATCTGATCAGCCTGTCAGCAAAGGATCACATACTCTGTAAATGTAAATATTATCCATAAACATTAAGTGTCCCCCTTTCAATTATACACATATCAGTTTGCAAGCCAAAACCAGCATAGTTAACAGCTAGTTAGCTATCTAGCTAACAAGACTACCTAGCTACCCAGCTAGCTAGCTGGCACTCACCACTCACAAAACTAGCCAAGTTAGCTGTGTTTTTTGCCTGGGAGTGGGGATACAGGCCTACCAGTCAGGCATCGTTTAGGGCTTAAATGCTTCATGAGGGGTTTTGCTCCCCCACGAGCTTTTGGCTCAAGGTAAGGGACATTTAGCTTGCTACATTCTAACTTCTATACTGATAATAAGCTCCAAACACAAATGAAAGCATGATGTTAGCAGAAATGTACCATCCCTTAGTGTAGCAATCAATAGAAACGTATGAGCTGATCCAGCTGCCTCAGCCATACTGGCAATCTATCCCTCAATACATCCACTCCTATTTAAAAGAATTTCTTGTGATCTTGACAAAACAACTTTTGCTGTTCGTGATCATGAGAAAATTATTGTGATCTCGACAAAACAACTTTTGTTATTAGTTTGTCAGGGTTCAGACAGACGACCAAGGACCACAATTTCGTCACACCAGAAAGTTTATTAAAACTTAAGGGAAAAGGGAAGGGAGTGAATGAAGGCTCCAGGGGTAACAGGGATCCCTCCAATGACGGGTCTGGCCCCCCCGTGGCAGCGATGCGCCCCATAAAACCCGGGTGGTGGGGTCCAGAAGTCCTGGGGGGGGACACGACAAACAGGCGGAATGAAACAAGGCGCATACAGTTAAAGGAAATCCAAAACGTAGTACGGCAAAAGGGCTGGTCAAGTTAGGGGGATTAAAGGTAGTCAAAGTCTTTGGCAAAAGCAGGTCTGGTCTCCTGGGGCAGAAGAGAAACCAAAAATCAGGCAGGTCCGGGGTCAAAAACCGGGGGTGGGCCGAAGCCGAGCAACAGTTCCCGGGGGGAGCTTTGCAACATCTGACACCGGGACTGAAAGCCGGGGCCCCTAAATATGGGAGGGGTGGGGGGGGTAATGCACGCAGCTGGCAGAGTAATTAGACGAGCAACAGGACGGTGGAGCTAGTTAGGCTAGTAAGAAGGGGTGAGCAAGTGGCAGAAAATTGGTGGCCCGGTGGAGGGGAGGCTCATACAAACCCCCCCCCCGGGGAAGGGCCCCCAAAGCCCAAAGAAACACCACCCGGGGGAGGAGGGACCCGGGAGGGGGCTAAAACTCCTCCAACGGCCCCATGAACGTCCTCATCCTCGAGGAAGCCGGAGGGCCTGGTCGGAGATGGGACGGCCCCGACCCCGGAAATCGGGGGGGGGGGCACCTACGAACCCCGGGGCCGGACTTTTTTCCCTCTGGGGCCCCCCCTACGGATTGCGGGTTGATCAGGATGCCGTTGGTGGAAACTTTATGAAGTCCTACCCCAAAATCCGACTAGCGGGCACCCGGCCCTTTCCTCAGGCCAAGCCCTCCCAGTCATGGTACTGGAGCCCCTACCCCCTCCGTCTGGACCAAGCAGGCGGCGGACGGTGAAAACCCCGACCACCATGACGAGCCGGTGAGGGGGAAACGCAGGGGGGACCACGGACTCTCATGGAGGGGTTTAAAATCTTAGACACAGGGAAAGTGGGGTGCACCCTCAGGGAATTAGGCATTTGGGGACCGGACACATTTTTGGGCTAATCACTCTTTGATGGGAAAAGGGCCATGAACCGGGGTCCAGCTTTTTTGCCTCCCCCTGGTGGCGGGTTTCTTCGATAAAACCCCCCCTTTGCCCAACTGGTAGGGGGGAGCGGAATTCTCCGACGGTTGGCCCCGGTAGTGTAGCGGCAACGGACTAGGAGTGGGGCCGGGCTTGTGACCAGGTGCGGCGACTCGAGGGGAAACAAGTGCAGTGGGAAAGTAACCCCCTTTTCCCCTGGCGGGAAAATAGAGGAGGCGGGTATCCAAAACACTTTGGAAAGGGGACTACCGATGGCAGGCAGTCGAATTGGTGCGTACTCCACCCTGTAAAATTGCTGGACCAATGGGGGTTGCGTAAGTCATCACGCAGTCCCTTCTCGGCTCCTTTTACCCCTCGACTCCCCTTGGTTGGGGAGGGAATCCGGAAGTAAAAACGGACTTGGCCCCCCAAAGTGACGACTCCTTTCCCAAAAAAGCGGAGGAAAATTTGTGGACCACGGTCAAAAACAAAACCCTTTGGGGGCTCCTGGCCCGGAAGCGGTTCCAGGACCACCTGGGGGGTCTCCTTTGGCGGTGGGGAGCTTGGGGGGGGGAAATGAAGTGTGCCATTTTGCTTAAACTTCAACTATGGTGAGAATACGGTCATGCCACTTAAAGGGGGGCACCCTGACAACAAGGGCTTGGGGAACCAGGACGTCTGGGCACAGGCAGGGGCTGCAGAAATCCGGCTGGGGGCTGGCGGCGCTTTGTTGGTTGCAAGGGGGGAGCTTGGACGAATTCCCTAATCCTTTCTCAGAGGGGCCACCAAACCTCTGGCGGCGGGTTTAAGTGCGGTGGACCGGGTACAAGCTAGGGGGGAGTCTGCCCCCCTGAACACCTGGGACCTCGGTCTTGGGGGACAAAAAGGCGGTCACTGGGCAAGTGCGGGACCCTTTACGGAAGCCTCCAGCACCTGTTCCTCACCCCCCAGGTCAGAGCGGGCAACGATGGGGACTTGGCAAATCGACCAGGGTCCTTGAGGGGGTGTCTCCTTCTGAATTGAGGGGAAAGGGGGTCTGGTTGGTGTTGCGTGATCCGGCCGGTATGACAGAGTAAAAATTAAAACCGGGTAAAGAACGGGGCCCAGGGGGACTCCCGGGATTAAACCGTTTGGCCTGCGGATGTCTCCAATTTTTATATCGTCCAAACGAAAAAGGGAAAGGTGGACCCCTCCACCAGTACCCACTCCCCCCAAAGGCAAGCTTCACACCACAGCTCACGGTTCCCATTCGAAATTCACTCAAGGGACAACCGCGTGAGAAAAGGCCGGGGATGGATTTCCTATCCTCCGCGCCACTGAGAAATCACGCACCACCCCCACATCCGAGCTCCACCTCCAAAATAATTGCCGGTCCCATCGGGCTCTGGAGGGGGGGAAAGGGGAGGTGAACCTACCTTAGGGTACAAGGTTTTGTCGGCTGCTGGGCCAGGTGAAGGGGTTTTTGGGTGCGGGTTAGAGCTGAGGGGGCCAAAACGGTACTGTGTTCCGGAAAATTTTCTGTAAATTTAGAAAACCCCAGAAACTTTGCAGCTTCTTTCTGTTCTCCGGAACTGGCCAGAATGACTGCTGATACTTTGGCAGATCCTTTGGTCTTCCCTCTGCCACTATGTACCCCAGGGAAAGGCCCCTGTCTTTTACGTGAAAATCCATTTCTCTGCCTTGGCGTAGAGGGAAATTTTCCGAAGACGGAAGGAAATTGCTGGCTGGCGGGTGGTTCAACAGGTTTCGGAGAATTAAGATGTCATCCGGTAAACAAGACAAACTTGTTTAACATTCCCCAGTACATCATTCACTAGAGCCGGAAAACAGCAAACATTGGTTGGGGCCAAAAAGGGATAAACCCGATACTCAGTGGCCTGTTGGTGTTTGAAAGCGGGTTTTTCCTTCATCTCCCCCCCGGATCCGCCAGGTTAACGTTTCGATCCAACTTTTAAAAACAGTGGCTCCCTGGAGCAACTCAAAAACAGAGGGAGCGAGGCAGGGGTAACGGTTTTTCCTGTGATGGTCGTTGATCCCCTGTATCGTGCAGGGCGAAAATCCTCTTTTCCCCCAAGAAAAAAGCCGCACCCAGAGATGAAGATAACGGGTAAATCCCCCGGACAAAGCCCTTATGTAGTCCTCCTGGACTTTTTTTCAGGGGGCAGACAACGATAAAGAGCCCTTTGGAGGGGCTGTTCCAGGAGGAGGTCGTGGCACAGTCGTCGGTCGGTGAGGGGGCAGAGATGTGGCTCTTTTCTTTGTTAAAAACCTCTCTGAGACCATGGTACATTCTGGACTTGGGGAAAGGCAGGAGCGGAGTTATAGTACTGGCCGAGGGGGTGTGCGGCGCAAGCAGGGGTACGTTGGCAGTCCTCTCCCCCCAATCCCGCCCCCGGTCACCCGCAGCTGAGGGGTTTTGCCGGCGGGCCATGGGTAACCCAGGGGAAGGGGTTGGCCTGGAGAGGGACGGTGAAACGGATAGTTTTTTGATGTTTCCGGGGCGACCCTCGAACCGGGGCCTGACGTGAGTGCCGATCCCCATAAGTGCCGTCCGTCCCGGGCGGAAAGGAGGTGTCAAAAGGAGGGTTTTCCCGTCCCATTGGGGTGCCCGCTTGTGCCATTATGTTGGGTTGGCGCCAAATCCACCAAGCAGCCAGGGGGTGAGTTGAGCGAGAGGGGAGGTACTTGCAGCGGGGGTTTGCGGGCGGAGGACTGGATGGTCATTGAAATCAAACCGACTCCCCCATGCCCGGTGAGCTTCGGCCCTTTAAAGGCAGTTACCACACGTTCCTCCCTCCACAAAAAGACAAGGGGTTAGGTGAACGGCCTGGCGCCCCGCAGGGGTAGAGAGGCTCGCCCAACTCCAAGGCTAGCTGATCAAGCTGACCTGGGTAGTGGCATAATACAGGGGCCATCGGATCTCTCCCAATGCCGTAGTAGGTGGAACTTGGCGCCCCCTCTCACACACGGGGCTTTTTCCTTCTTTGATCCTACAGTCTGCGTGGGTTTATCGAGTGGAAGGCGTCGGGAGCCAACTGTTTGTTAGTCAGCCAAAAATGGGAAAAACGCGTCCACCAAAGAGGTGGTTTCCCAAAAACTTCGTCTAGCCAGGGTTCGGAAAAAGATGGAATGGTCCCCGCGACTGTACGTCTGCCTTTTCAATACGAAAAAAGTTTTACGAGACTCCTCTGCGGGTTTGGTGAAACCAGTAAAA